ATCTGTTGCCTATGCAGAGCAAATGGATTCTGCCACTGATGGTGAGGACGCCCCTTCACATGATGGTTGCCGCACCATCCCATTGTGTTTGCACACAGGCACAGTCCGGTTAGCATGTGCACATATATTTCACTTTTTGACACTGTTTTGGACTTGTGGCTGTGTGACATTCCTTTCCCTGGAAACAAATGACTTGCAGGTGGATGGCGAGGAGTACGCTGCAGCATTGCTGGGCCTCGAGGCATCCCATGTATCTCTAACTATAATGACTGCTCCAAAAATGCCAAAGCAGGCTTATGAAGAGGAGGTAAGCCAGAACCTGTGGTGCAATCGGAATGGAATAATATGAGCTGGTCTAATGCTGTGTCGCCTGATGGTGGAGGCTTCTCGTGTAGATCAGCTAAGGTTTTATCCAGACTCTGCCCAAAACTTGCCGATCACCTCTGGACCTTGCTCTAGATCTGGTTCAGTTTGGGTCCATTGCAGGCATGGGGTCTTTTATGAAGGGGCATGTTGAAGACCTCTAGAGCTGCAAAAGATCCCCTAGCATGGGTCCATAGCCTGTACCTTGACCCTTGGGCCCAGGAAGTAGTCCCTGTTTTAAGCATGCATTATGTTTTGTACCATTTGTCCATAGATTGGTACGGTTCTGCTGTTTTCAACATCCAAGAGGCAACTCTAGTCCCTCACAGCAGTGCATAACTCCAGCTCAGTCATAGATGGAAATAAATGAAAAGAAACCCGAACTGATGGAAAATAGCTCTATCATATTGCCGGTGAAGCTAAGGTCTTGAGCTGCACCGAAAGTGAAGATGTTTGCAGCTACAGTTTTGTCCATGCTTAGTGCGTTGGAATTGGAGAGTTACAATACCCACTAGATTACCTGTTGTGGCTTCGCTACCCCTATCCAACCATTTGGATGGGGTTACCTGAAACCCCTTTCAAAAGCTTCAGCCACTTCCGCGGTTTCAGGTCCCTACCTGAAATTCCTGAAATGAACTAAAGTGGCTGAAGCTTCTGAAAGGGGTTTCAGGTACCCCCATCCAACCATTTGGATGGGGGTACCTGAAACCCGTTTCAGAAGCTTCAGCCACTTCAGGTCATTACGGCGGTTTCAGGTCCCTACCTGAAATTCTTGAAATAACCTGAAGTGGCTGAAAAAATAGGCAGAAAAAAAAAAAAAAAAACGAAACTTCTGAAATGGCCTGAAGTGTCTTCAGGCCATTTCAGCGGTTTTTAGACCACTTCAGAATCTTTCATTCTGAAATTTCAGATGGTCATTAACCATTAGTGGCTGAGCATGGTTCTTTTTGACTAACGAGAAGGCTCTAGCAGACGGGTACATGGTTCTGAAGGGATCAATCAGGCCATGGTCTATCATCAACTTCTGAATAGGTAACACTTCTGACGAGTTGCGCACATTAGGAGATCGGGATATACAGTCGATTGAGGGATCTAAGGTGGTGTTCCAGTCCCCTGCCACTATGCATGGCGTCAAGGGGGGAATTAATCTGTCGAAGCTGGCTATGAACTAGGTTCTCTCCACTGGATCATTTGGGGCATAAACGTTGAGCAGGAGAAACTCCTCTTCATTCCACTTCAGGTGCATAGAGCACCACCTCCCGTTGTTAAGATCCGCTTCCTTGCTCATAACCTTCCCAGCCCGAAGGAAGCGAGAGGAGTTGGGTATCAAAATGGCCGTATCTTTTGTGCTTGACG